GGGGGGGGGAATTGTTCAATCTTGTTCTTCTTCGACATGTCTCCTCATTTCCAATTCAACTGAGCACCGCGTCGGAGTAGCTTGCTTTGGACGCTGAACAAAATCTTCAATTTCATCGCCACTGAAGGTAAATCGAAATCCCTCTCTTTTGTTTAATGCTGTTGAGCTATAGAAGATCGATATCTGCATTTGCGAATCTCAACCCTAATAAATCCTTCGAGGTAAGGAACTTTCGATTTTGCGTCGTGTGTTGTAGAGTTTTGAGTTCGGCTTAATTTGAAAACCAGTTTGACGCCAAGTGATTCTGTCTCCTGCCTTAGCTTTATTCCGATGGCCAATCAATTAGCTGCAAAAGCTTGCAATCTTCCTTCACTTCCTCATCTCAAACATCTAATCCAGTAATAATTATCCATCATGGATGCTTTGCACTCCCTGATTTCTTAGCTTTAGTAAGCCACTTGAAATCGTCTCTTCCATGAATTCCAACTCTACCACTTCATGTCATTGCTCATTTGGCTCTCTCGAAAATCTCCAAAGCCATATGGCAAAGGAAGTCATTCATACTTACAATTTGAAGTTCTTTTTAATAATCTTCTTTTGGGATAGTGGACTATTGTTGACTATCTTAAGATGGCAAGGATTATTCCTAATTGTTGCGCTCATAGGGTGGTTATTTTCTGAATTTTAAGTGATCGTCTGTTACCAATAACCCTAATTTGCTGTATCTTGATTAATGGTTCTTTAAATCTTTCTATTTATTAAACTTCACTCTCTTTCAGGTGCATCACACTTTTGTAACTGCAGGGTCGGATGGTGCTTTTAATATCTGGGACGAGGATAGCTGTGAGATCCCACGTCGGTTGGGGAGGAGAACGAAACATTATTTATAAGGGTACGGAAACCTCTCCCTAACATACTCATTTTAAAATCCTCGAGGGAAAGTCCGAAAGGCAAAGTCCAAAGAGTATAATGTCTGCTTGCTAAAGATGAGTTTGAACGGTTACAATAGCAAACACAAACAAAGGCCGAAGGTTCCTTCAAATACTTATTGGATTTTTAACTTCTTAAGATTTATAAAATAGTTTGGAGAGTTGCATGGGAACTATGTTTACATTCTGATACATAAAACTTGTTTGGTGGAATGATGCTCCAAAGTAAGTTCCCCATAAGTTATTTGCTCAATTTAATTTTTAAATAGATTGCCTTCATTTCCTGTTAGCTTTATGACCAGAGATCAGTATGTTTTATGACAAGATTAAATTGAGCTAAAAACTGATGAGAAACTCTCTTTTGAAGTTTGGCAAATGTTGGAGGTAGCAAGTATTGAGATATGAGGTAGCAAGTATAGGGGTGGGCTCTTGAATTTCTTCATTACTTGTGTTCTTTTCCTTTATTCCTCTACAATCCATCTCTTTCCATTTGGTTCCCATCACACATTACTACTAGTTTTTTTCAATTACTACTAGTTTTTTATTGAAAAGCTTTTGGACTTTGAGGTAATAAGCTTGACTTAGCAAATAAAGTTATTGACTTGGAGCAATTGTAGGATAATTGCTGGTAGTAATAACTTTAGGAAAATTGTTAGTTTTTTGTTTAGGAGATTTGTTAGTAGTTGCTAACGAGTGGAAAAAGTTTAGGAAATTTGTTAGTGTTTTCTCAACTATGAATACTTAGTAAGATGCAATCCTTTATACACAACAACAAAGAGAGTTGAAAAGCATAGTACTTAAGGTTTTTTGTTCCAAGAACTCTCTCCTCAAGTTGTTTTTTATGTTTCATTTATTTTTTTCGGTATATTTCGATTGTGGGTCATATCCAACACGGACAGTGGGCCATATGGCCATATCCATAGACAAGACCCTAGTTGAGCAAGTGATACTAACGGACTTGGTGTGACATGTTTGTTTTGTTTTGTTATAGGTACGATATGGTACCCCTACAGATTGAAATCTCTTGCTAGCGAACTGTGGGAATCCTTCTCTTCCCAATATTTTTCCTTTTGAATTAAGGTTTAAAGAACAGAGGGGTGGGATTTATATAGGTATGCCAGGATTGGAGTAAAGGGGCAGAAAATCACAACCCTGCAACAGCCAAGACCTTCATTTACTTGCACCTACCGCAGGCACTTGGTTGGAGTGCATAATTTTGTTGATTTCTGTACTTGTTTACAATGTTCTTGCAGGCTTAGAATTTTCCCCCCTTCGAATGTATCCTATTCTCTGATGTCATATTACTCTAAGTTTAACGAGGCAGCACAAATTTTGAATATATTTTTACTTCAGATCCTAGTGCACAAGTTTCATTGTATGATTGGAAACACTTTATCTTTCTAATACATCGGAAATTTACACCATACTTATTATTAATATTAATATTGTATTCACATTACTTACATTTTGTTGATATTTTTCGTTAATTCAATTCTCATTTGGATGTCAAACTGTATAGGTGTACATGGTCGAGTCGGGTTAGATTGAGAAATTTTTTTGGACCCACAAAAAATTTGGGTTGGTTAGATGAGTAACTTAACTCAATCCTGGCTCTGGCGTTCAAGAAAATTTTAAAAAGTTTTATTTATTCATTATTCATAATTATTCGATACAATTTTATATAAAAAATATATATATATATATATGAGGCAAACCCAAAAAGATATTTTAATATATTTTATAAGATTTTGTTCATCAACTTCAAGTTTTGTCCAATGAACTTGAGACCCGAATTGAATATATTCGGGTTTAGAAAAATTAACCCGACCAGTTGGGTTGTGTTGGGTCAGTTCGAGTTGTCGAGTTGTACGCCCTAACATGAAAAGCAAAAAGAAGAAAAAGACAAAAAAAAAAAAAAGTTGGTATAAATTTGGACTATTCCCAGGTCTCTCCCATTTCCATCACACTCTCTCTCTCACTCTTACAGTCTTTCTCTCTCTAAAATGGCAAGACCTCAACAGCGCTATCGAGGAGTCCGGCAAAGGCATTGGGGCTCTTGGGTCTCCGAGATTCGTCACCCTTTGCTGTAACTCTTCTAATATCACTTCTCCTCTACTTTTGTACTATAAATTTTTAACTAATTAATGAACTAAATCGTTACTTTATTATTTTTAAATATCAAAATACGTTTCTTTAATAAATTATGATATTATATAAAAAATTGATTTTTTTTTTTTTTTTCCTTTTTGTCTCTCCTTCAGGAAGACAAGGATATGGCTGGGAACTTTCGAAACGGCGGAAGACGCAGCCAGAGCATACGACGAAGCAGCCAGAATCATGTGTTGCCCTAACAATCTCCCAACCAATCACAACGCGCCACGTCACTCTTTGTCCGCGCCGCCGCCGTCCTCGAACCTTCTAACCCCGACATTGATCGAGAAGTTGCAGAAATGTCGAACGGCTTCTTTCCAAATGGTCAAAAAGCAATTCCCCAACAAAACCCACTTCTCCGACCGGAAATCCGCTCACCCAAGTCGCCGTCAGCCCACCAATTTCGACGACGGCTATGGTGCCTCCGGCGTTCACTTTCCGGAGACGGACTCCAAGTGGGTCGCCGGCGGTGAGGCTCAGGAGATCGCCCGGCTTGAAGATGATCACGTAGAGCAAATGATTCAAGAATTGCTTGATCTTGGGTCATTTGAGTTTTGCCCTAATAATAATAATTATCTTAATGATATTGAGTCTACAAATAATTAAAATATATTATTTAATAAATAAATTTAACGCACTTTTTCCTTTTTTATATTTAATTTTTAGAACTTGTTTTTAAGTAATTATTCAGTAAAAAAAAAAACATCACATATATACACTATATAAGTTATTATAACATTAATTAAATTACAGATTTAGTCGCAAAAATATCTATTTACGGATTGATGGCACGACTGCTTGATGTCTGACTCTGATATTATTTATTTTGGCCCGTTATATATTGTCATCAGTCTCACGTTTTTAAAATGGTTGAGAAAAGTTTTTCACACCTCTATAAAAAAAAATGCTCCGTTCTCCTTTCTAATCAATATGAGATCTCAGAATCCACCTGTGCTTGAAATAGAAATTCACAAATTCTATATTTATATTTTTGTTTTTTATGAGCAGAAAATTCTAAAAAAAAGTCAAAAGAATGGTTTGTTTGACAAAGTACTGCAACCTTGGATCATGCGAAGGAATGAAATAAATAAAGAAAACTATGAAAAGAGGTTGAAGATAATAGAGAAAGGGAGGAATAAAAAATAAAGATAAAAGAAGAAAAAAAAACAAAATTAATTAAAGTAAGAGTGAAACTAATAACTAAATAAAAAAAAAAAAATATATATATATATATATATATATATATATATATAATAATATTTCAAAGAATATTAATAAAAATATTTAAAGAATATTAATATATAAAAGAGAATAATCTATAGATAGAATGAGTATGTGGGTCAAAAGTGATTTTTAAAAATAGAAGAAACAAAAATAAATAAATAAATTAAATTAAATAAAATAAAACGGCAGGAGATAATAAAGCTGTCAAGTCCCTTATCAAGGTGAGAACAGAAAAATAAAAAGAAAAAATAAAGTAGGCGAGAAAACAAAATGAAAGTATTTTAAAAGTTAAATTATAATCATTATCATTTTTTCCGAACCACATTCACATTTTTATTCTTTTTAAAAATTAATATTTATTTTCATTTATTAAAAGTTTAGGTCTATAATTTTATAAGTAACTATTAAATAAAAATATTTTAAAAAGAGAATTAAAATTAAATATTTGGTTTAAAAAATAAAAAAGTAGAGTATAATGATTATGGAATCGGATCTTTAATTATTAGCGCCTACGACCCTTTCTTATTTATTTATTTGGGTTAATCTTCTAGATTAAATGGTAATAATTTAAATTTATTAATTAATTTTTCGTAAATTAAAGTTGTGCATGGAATGGAATCCATCAATTAGCAACAAATTCCAACATATTAAATCCTTCCCTTTCTCTTTTTGTTTCATAATTGGCTTCCATTTTTATATTCATTTCATTAATTGTATATGCTTTTTTTTTCCACAATATATATTTATTTATTTGTTTAAAAAAACATAAATAATGATGATTTGTACATGTTGTGAAATTGATTGTGTTCCCCATTACAATTTAACACTTAAAAAAAAAAATCATGATTTTCGTAATTTATTACTATTTTTTTTCTCGAGTTCTTAATTTATTACTACTAATTTGTCATGCATCCAAATATTCTTAAATATTCCTGACATAAAAACTATACATTAAGTTATTTTAGCATATTTTGTTCTCACTCATCAAATATTAAAGAAAATATGTAAATCTCACATTGACGGAAACTAAGGGGAGGGTGCCCCGTGGTCTAGCAACCCACATCTCGGCTCGAACCTCTGTGCACTTTTCTTTCTATGCGGGACGATGTTGGGGAGAGAAAGAAATGTGGGTCACCCAATATTAGCATACTTAACGAAAAATAAGTTGCATATCGCTAGTATAAGAAGCAATTATTAATTTTAAAAAAATATCTTTTAATCCTCTTATTCTCACGATCATTATTAATCAACTATGATTTCAGTTCATTTATGTACCTCTCTTTTACTCTAACGATCATTCTTAATCAACTATGATTTCAGTTCATTCATGTACCTCTCTTTGCATCATTATCATATATATATATATATATAAAAGAAAAAGAAAAAGAAAAAGAGATACAATGCATGCTTGAATGCACTTATTGATAATATATTGGGTATTGCTTCAATTATGAGTTAAGGAATTTTGTTGATGTGAATCATATAGATAGATAGAGAGTGATAGCTCATCATTTTCATTCTCTTTTACCTTTATTGCATCCTCTCTATTCACATTCTTCCCACCCTATATTGTATTAATAATGACCACCCTCTTTATTTATTTATTTGATTTTTTGTCACCATCAAATTCAATTTAATAAAATAATTATATTATAATTGACATTATACTCTTATTATTAAGATAATAATATTTCAATATAGAAATGCATTTTTAATTTTAGGTTTATAAACTTGGTGGGCTGGCCCGTAGTAGAGGATCTGAGCTTTTGGATGGGCCCATTTCATTTGAGGCCCAACTAAAAAGGCCTAGAAGCGGGAAGAACAAGGCCGAGATCCACTACCTTGTTATTAAATAAAAAATTATAATACATAATAAAAAGAAAATGAGAAAGGGCAAAAATGTAAATTAAGGACGGGAGGAAAACAGAAAGTTGCAGTAATGGCGGGATCTCAGTAACCTCTGAACGAGCGAGGGTTGAGGAGAAGCAAGA